CATGGGGAGAAAAATAAAACAATTTTTAAAAAAAGACGAGAAAAAAAAATTGCAAAACAAAAACTGACTGAAATATTATGAGAGGAAAAGCCAAACACAGAAAAGCAGTTTGAGGTTGCATATTTATTTTGTGCAGAGTAGACAAAGATAAAATTTCTATGAAAATCAAGAAATGTCATCTGAAATGATTTTTAAAATATGAAAAGAATTCTCTCCTTACCTACAGTGGGGTTAACGGGAGTAAGGGACGTGTAGGACCGAGAGCCGTTTCCTTCTAGTGCCGGAAGCATGAAACAAGAGGTTAGTTTTCACTCTAGCACGAGGAAAATATACAGCAGAAACTCCATATAATGTTGTGAGTATACAGAAAGAAAATTTTTCAGTAGATGTAATTAATTTCTTTTTTTATCAACTAGTGCCTTGTACGATTCTGAAAGCTAGAAGTAAGTTAGAATCATAAGAATTTTCATTTACTTACTCGAAGTACACAAAACATGCTTAAATTTGGGCATGAAAGACTCTGTAGTGCTCTAGGAAACAATATACTGAGATTCTACTGCATTTTTGTTATCAATGCTATGATGTGTATAGGTTATTAGAGTGAGTTAGACTTGCTTACACATTCAAGGCTTGAAAGCATAATTATTTAATTAGTTAATAATTCTTTGTTAAGGAAATGTCCTACATTTCATTGAAATGAAATGCAAAAATTGTAGCTTTGCAAGTGCCAGGCAAATGTAAACAGGCCAAATCTTTCAGTGAGTTTTCAGATAAGATGGCAGCAACACAGAAAAATTAAACATTTTGTGCAACTTACAGAGTTGATAAAAATTCTCATCAACATGTAAAGAAAGAAAAAAAGAAAGAAAGAAAGAAAGAAATTCATTGAAGTTTACAGTAACACTCACAGATATGAAAGACCCAATCTCAATTGCAGACAAGTAATAACAGGAAGTGCAAGTACTGAGTATGAGAAAGAAATATGTTAAGAACAATGCTTGCAGGCATTCTTGTGTTCATGTGCTCTTACTAATTCCTAGCTGACTTTGCCCCCAAAACTGTGAACTTAATTTTTGCTTCAGTTTTTGAAAACCCAAAACAATTTCTGAAGGGGGACTAGTTCCCCATAATAGTTAGATTTCTGAAAGCAAAAGTGATGCAGCATTGGGTTAGTAGGGTTAGTGGGACAGCAGTAATTATGGAGCTTGATCAAAGTACTATCTGTATGGTCAAATTCTATAATATAAACAAACCGTTTTCTTGTCGAACTAACATTATTATATAAGGTACCCAAAAACAAGTAATTGCTTCAACATTGTTTGTTTTCCTATAAAGACCATGGACTTCAAGTGTAAAAATTAGGAAAAATATAACTAGTGTTTTCACATAAATGTTTAACAAAAAGGAGTACATTTTAATTTAAAATATAACACTTCAGACTGTAATATTTAGCAAAAAGTTCTAACAATTTTTCTTTTCCGTAAAGACTTTGTGATATTCTCAACAGAATGCTTTACCTTGCCACAAAAAATGATTGTTTTTTATATCATCATTTAGAAATTAAGCAACAAATGTACAATCATTTCTGTGATGGACCCTAACTGAGTCTCCAAGAAATTTAAAAAACAAAACTGGTGACCCAGGGGAATAAAATTGAATTCTCAAATTAAGTTAAATTATATTATGAATACATTTGCAGCACAATTTTAAAGACATTTTCTTCACAATAAAAAGTTTGATTTAAATTGGTCAGATTTCAATCAGGAAACATACCGAGATAGGAAATTCAAAAATAGAACTAAATATTACACCAGAAAACTGTCTTAATCTTGAAACAATTTATTCCACCACTAACTTAACATTTTGACACAGGGATGTCGTTTGTCAAAATGTGGAACTCATGCTTTAGACCATTGACAATAATGCACTATGTAATTCTTGGTGAATTTTTGACAAATGTAGTTGTAACTGGATTAAAAAAGTGTACTGGTACAATCTGGGCAATTCTTTGAATTATTGAATGTTTTTCAATTACCAAATAAATTGATGTAAAATGATTCACAAATGGTTGAAAAGCATTAAATTTGTGATCATTTCTGTGATTCCTTGAATCTGGAAGCAATGTTTTGCCCAATGTTTCTTTGTGTATGTGTGTGTGTATTTTTATTTTATTTTTAATTTAATGCACGCATTTCTGAAAACTGACTGAGGAATAAAATGTTTCAGACTGCCTGTCGAGACTAGTACATTTCAGGTCTTTAGATTAATTTGCAACCCATGTCTGGAAACATCACTTGTTTCGGCAATTTGGCAATGCATGAAATACCTTTTACTTTCAACGACCCTCCCCCATCACAGTCACGTGCCTACAGATTTTAGGAAGGGTGAACTATTTTAGTTGGAAGAAAAAAGAAACATTTATTCTGGGGAGTCATTCATTCACATTTCATTTATGATCTTAGGTTTAGAAGAAGAATCACTTCAAAATGTTGACTCAACGTGCATTTTTGGTGGAAGTTCACTTCGGCACTAAATCTATTATAAAGTTAGGAAACGTTTGAACAAAAATTTCCGGAAACACCAGTTTCCAACAAATCAACCATTTGTAGATTAATTGAGCATCAGTTTATTGTCATTTTAAAGATATAACACTCTTAATTATTGTTCATTAATTGTCAATAATTATTATCGATATTATATTAATATCACAGCTCACAGCCTCTGCTGTCTTACAGTGCCAGCCACGGCAGTCTTAAAAGAAGGCAAAGACCTGCGGTTGCCAAATTGCCAAAACTAGAACAGGTGCTACCAGTCACGGGCTGTGAGTTACACTAAAGACCCTGTACATAAGTGAAATTGAATCGCACAAAACGTTAAAATTTAAAAATATTGTATTAAAAGAAATACATGACAATTCATGCCTATCTAATTGGCCCATCTAAGTTTCATAATGGTGATTTTAAACATAGCATAATATCACAAAACAATCAATTAGAGATATTTCAACTCTATTTTCATATCTTTTAAACAATGATAATTTGAAATTGTGTCTTTTTTTGCACTTTTACTTCTCGTTCCCCAACATTTTAATTTTGCAAGTTTTCAATTTGCAAATATGTATATCCGTACATCATGGCTGCCATTAGCAGGTTTCCAAGTGACAAAATCATCTAATTTGTTCAGGAAACCCCACATCTTTGAAAGAGGACACTTCGGCTTCAGAAAGATGGCTAAACTTACATACATTAGTAAACATACTCACAGTTAACAGCAAATATGAGAAAACATTTACTTTTAATTATTATAATTACAGTTGGTTTTAATGCAATAAATAATTAATACAACTGCCTCTAAGCCACTTTCCTAAGAATCTAAAGGTTTTTGAATGAGATGCAAGCCTGCCTTGGCAGGGGGAAAAATAGTCAGAATTCCTCGTAGGGCATTAACGTTTTAAATTTGATATCCTATAGATTTTATATCTTATGTAAAAGCTCTCTAAATAATGGAATTTACCTTAATACATTATTGTTGCACCAGTCCATGAGAAGTGAATTTAGTTCAGGGAAATGTAACTAAAGGAACAAGCACATTTCATTGTAATTTTGAAAATGTGAATGTTCTTTCAAAGCCCTCAGCGGCTCATTAGTTAGTGTGCTTGCTTTCCATAGTGCAACCCCGGGTTCAATTCCCGGCCGGGGCAAAATTATACTTGTGCACTTTCTTTAAAAATGTCCCAGTATCTACCTGCTGTATGATGATGAGAAAGCCTACCATTAGGTTATGAAGACCAATTTATATGGTGGGAGGATGTCTTCGTGCTAACCACACAAACCCCTTATCTCATGACCGAGAGGCTGGGCCACCGCTGGTCGGCCAATGCCCCTATCAGGCTGACAAGCCACAGGTCAGAGTATTCCTTCAGGTTCATTTACCCTCCATTTGCAGGCGCAACAATAATATTGGAGTCTGCACCAAAAGGTTCATTATATCTTCAACAATAGAATCCTTTCCCCCCTCTTAGTTTGTAAAAAAAAAAGAAAGAAAAAGAAAAAGAAAAGAAAAAGAAGAAAAAAAAAAGAAAAATGTTACAGAACCTTACTTCAGAGGGAAAATAAGTCATCTCTGTACTAAGTATTATCACTCACAATTTGTTTCCCTTCTTCTGATTGTCATTTTGATATAATATAAATAATGCATGTGTTGAGAAGCTGTAGGTCTAGTTACAATAATATAATTACATCACCTTAACTATACACATATCTTAGTTTGAATCTTGTTTCAATTGACAGTGAGCCCTTATTGGTTGTTTATTATTAGTGAAATGAAAAGTGAAACTGAATTCTTATCATTTTAAAGAACAACCAAAAAGTAATTAATTCCTATTGGAAAACTAAGGCATCAAGTGTGTGACAAAATGAAAATATACCTAACATGCCCAGTCGTTTGTTAAATATGACTATTAAAATTACTTCTTTCATCAAGTTTTGTGTTCTAAATCTAATGTGGACCAAAGTTTTATTGTGTTCATGACTTGTAGCTCCAGAAAATTTTATATTCATAACTCTTACCTTGCCCAAAAATGTCACAACCAAAACTGGAATCATAAAATTCAATATTTGAAATATCTTTCATATTCCTGTTTCATTCTTTCTGCAAAATAATACCCTATTTATTATTATTTATTCTTGCAGACTTCCCCCTCCATACTCATTTCCTTTCTCTTCCTGAACTCCTTGCACCTTACCAAAAACATACTTATCTTCTGTGTTAAAAAATACAATAATAACAAAAGTGGTATAATATGGCCATATTATGACTCTACAAGATGAAACCTTGAATAAGGTAATGTTGAGCAAATACATTTTATTCGCAAATATAAAGTGATACATATCTGCAGCATATTCCATGAACAAAATTAAGGAAGTAGAATGGAAGATGAAACACACAGTCAATTGGAATTTAGAAACCAATTGCAAATTCTAAAAATTCATCAAGAGTACCTGTTACAGTGATATAATGAGGAGAGCCAACAATGGCAGTTGTGCCAGCTGCCTGGGCGGCTGCGCCGTTTGTTTGATCTGCACTATCTGGGGTGGCCACAGATGGTTCACCACCACTGCTCACAACAACTTGGGCTGTCACTTGAGCTGCTGAGCTCCCGTTGGATGTTCCTCCGTTCGAAGAGTCACCTGGACTATCCAACGAGCACTCTACTGCTCCGTTCTGCACCAAAAGAATAAAAAAACATCTTACAGAATCCAAACAGCAAGAAGAGAATTCAAAATTTATACAAATTATTTAAAAACTATGTAATACTAAATACATAAATGGTTGGCAGAAGACAAAATAAATAATAATAAAAATAATAAGTTTGCCCTATAATTTCTGCACAAAATCAACAAGAAAAACTAGGTCATAATAAATACAGAGAAAAATATTGACTAATAATTGACAGTATTAGTGGAAATGTTACATGGACAATGATATATTCTGAACTAGATACAAATAATTTATTACAAAAAAATTATTAATAAAACTCTTTTTACTAATATTGTCAGATGAAAGCAAAGGCTACTGCTGTACCAAAAAAATTAAAATGCAATGTACAAATTTTGAAAGGATTCTTTGAGTAAGGCAAACAATAAAACATTTCATAATCAGAAAGCTTTTAAATAACACCGGAAATGTGAAGTGAACATAATATGATCATTTAAAATTATGCAATGGGGCAAATTTATCAAATCATAAATCAGTAATTTCACAAAGAAAAAATTTTAGATCGTTTTTTTTTTTTTCATCATTGTTTCTAATAGACAATCACAGCTATTCATTGTCCTACTTTCTGCACATTTGTTTCATGGTTCATTATGAATTCTTATGGGAAAATAAAAAAAAAAATAAAAAAATTGACAATAAGAGCAGAACAATAAAGCTCCAACATTTTATTTCTTTTTTGTAACAGTACATGACAATATTCAGAGAAGGATACTGAACAAATTTGTTGGTCTAGCAGCTGCTTTAAAACAACAATTCCATTGGAAACACACCAGGTGTGTTGGATCATAAGCAAACAAAAGGTGGGGATTTCTGTTCTGTGACCGCAAGCTAGGCATCAGCTGCAAGTTAAAAGCACTTTATCTCCCTTATCAGGAGACTTTGCCCACACTACTTTGAACAACACTTGACAAAAATCAATACTCTTACAAAGGTTGTGTTACTGTTATATGGTACAAGAGAACAAATATCTACAAATATGAAAATTGCATCAAGCCATGGTTGGTAATGAGAATTATAATATGTTGAAATATAACAATATAGTTTTTAAAACTTTTTTTTAGTCAAGAGGCCAGGGAAGAGGTATCACTGTTTTACCTTTCTGCTCTATCAACAGAGCAAACTACATAAACAAGAATTCTATTATAAGAAATACATGCAAATTAACTGATTGTAATGTCAATTACTTTGAAATGAATATGAAATTGCATATAATTTGAATTCAGCATTTCAATTAGCTTCTACAGAGACAATATGCGATCATGTTAAAAGCATTCCCTAATATAGTAATATAATAATTAGTACATAGTACAATGCGCAAGACGCAAATTAGTTAAATGCAGCAAATAAGGCAGTGCTTAAGCAAGTGCAAAGAATTTCAAATTACATTTTCATTATTGTAAATAAATTTGTCAATTTGTTTATTTAGTGATCAATTATTATACCATGTTTTCAAATTAATTCATACCCAACCAACCTATGGAATAAAAAAACAAACAAACAAATGCAGCAGCATCATCTGGAATACATAAATTTTACATTATCATACTACAGAAAAGAAAATATACCTTACAAACTGCTTTAAATAATACTAAAGTGCAGAATAAAATTTCTCAAATTAATCTGGTGTTCATGGTAACCGGAAAGTAATGATCTTTACAAAAGGAACTTGATAAAATACATGAAGTATAAATTAAAAGATAATTGAAAAAACACACTGTACAAGCAGCATCATATTGGTGCAAAATGCTGGATCTTCAGAAATGACAAGAAACTGTAAACAAATAAACATAAGGAAAATCACAGATGATAAAAATAACATAAAACAAAATGAAAAATATTTTTGAAAAATAAGATCTACAGGAACAGCAAGATAACAAAATCACCAGCAAAACAGAATACCCTAAATGTGAAACACATTATCATGCAGAAGACATCCTAGAATTGTGATTAACTTGCAAAAATGGGCTGCCACAAACTTGGAGAAGCAATCCCACCTGTGGAAGAGCAGAAAGAGGCACTGCAGTGATGGACACAGAGTTAACTGCTGCGGCTGCCGCGGCTGCTGCTGCTGCTACTGCTGCTACCTGGGATGCACTGCCCACCACAGTCACACTTGTGCTCGAATTGAGCCCCTGAGCCTGCACTTGCTGCTGCACTTGCTGCTGCACTGCTACTACTGCAGCTGCTGCCTGCCCCTGTGGCTGTGGAGGCTGATTCTGCTGCTGCTGTTGGTTGCCACCACCTCCTCCTCCCCCTCCACCACCCCCTACCTGTTGGTGTAAGTCCGAAGATGGCGTAGGGACTGCGGCTGCTACTGAAGCTGTTGTCGCCGTGGTGGCAGCAGCCATGTTGAAAGCTGGCTGTGCCGTAGTCATGGCAACAGGCCCACCACTACCTCTCGTTCCGTCTGCAACACATCACACCCCAGCAGGCTTAGTATTGAGGATCATTTCCTGGCCCCAAGGTACAAAGTTTAATCTGGCAGTGAGTCATGCATCTGTACTGTATTTGAATTTGCAAACCTTTTTAAAGGTATGTACAACTAATCAATAACTCTCCATTGATCAATGCATATGCTGGCATGCAAATTAATTGCACGATTCAAAATTGTTTAATATAAGAAATTATGTTGCAATTAAATTTGTTATAATTAATTGGTATATTTATATTAAGTTCACAAAATGAAGTAAATTATAATATATATATATATATATATATATATATATATATATATATATATATATATATATACACACACACACACACACACACAAATTTATTAATGTGACCAAATAACAAATAAATAATAAATGAAATCATTAATAAAAAAAAAGATAATGAACCAGAGTTGAAAATTAATACAACATGGAACATTCAAGGTTTCAGCTTTCAAAAGGGAACAAAGAGGCTTTTTGACCACTCCAGAAGCATGCATTGAGTCAGTAGTCAATAGCTTGTTAGATAGCATCTCTATAAAGCACTTCAAAGGATTCCCAGTCCACCTGCTTTGCACTTGCAGGCTATGAATTGTGTGGGACCAAATGCACCTGAACGCACTCACCATGAGTCACACTGGAAAGCTAAGGTGCGTTGGACTGGGAGGAGGGGCTCGGATACAAGAGGGGATGATTGTTTGTCCCCCTCTGCAGTGCCTTATTTCCCCCTCAGCTTCCCCCAATTAGAGCAGATAATGTGTATCCATGACAACTCTCTCAGGCAGGCAGGTATGTCCCCTCCCTTTCTTTCTTTCAAATAATTCTCTTGTACACCCTCTTATTTTAAGAAGTCTTCTCTTCAGAACTGTACCTATGTTCTCTAATGGGTCTATAAATGTAATGTAATGATTCACTTCAGTGCTAAGCATGAAAGCAACTGTTACATATTAACCTAAAAATAACAATACACTCATCTTCTCATATGTATACTGAATTAGCAGACAACAAAAATAATGACTTAATGTATTGTCACAAATTATTAAAAATTCTCGTACTATCATAAGATTGTTGTGATTTTTTTACTAAAAAACTCAAGACATTCCAATACTCTCCAATGTCATGTTTTGATAAGCCTCCAAATTTTACTATTATTACATTTCTAAAGGATGTTTTTGTTTTCTTAACACATTCCAATTGTCAAGAAATTTTTTTTTTTTTTTTTTTTTGAAA